TAAAGTTACCCAAACTTCAACCTCACAAAAATTGACCTAGACTCACGGTTTGTAAATTTGGGACCCTAATATCAATGAAATACCCTATGAAAACCCTTTTAAGGGGATAGTACATGCCAATGGGAGTCTATATTGAGTTGTTTTGAAATCGGGGATTAACATCAAAAAGAATTATTTGATCATGAAGGTTTTTTAAAAGAGTTGATTTATGAGCCAAATTAAGCTGCCTATTAATGATACTAAACTTGCTCCCTTAATTTTTTTTATAAAATAAAGATTGAAGCCCATGAAACGTAAAATGTTTATTATTTTATTCATTTTTTTTGAAATAATGCAAGCGTAAAATTGAACTTTCAAGCGTAAAATCGAACAAGCGTAAAATCGAACTTTCGAAACTAACGAAAAGAGTAAACAAATATATTCTGGGAAAAGGCAGTACACTTTAAGATTTTGAAGGAAAACATATTTTTTTGTGAACAAATATTTAAGAATTTAAAGATGCCTACATTTGCCAAAAACCATGAAGAATGTAGAAAATCTGTGTTATCTGTATGAAGAAAGGTGATCAAGAATTGACTGAAAACTTCAAAGCTAAAATTCTTCAACAAATTCAGAAAGAAATCAACTTCAATGATGACAGAGTACCATTGGCGACCTGCATCTCCTGCAGATCTCACATTGGAAAGCTGTGTGATGGTAAAACAAATGTTGTGCCTCAGATTTATGATTTTGAATCATATTCGATCAAGCCTCTTACTCGTTTTTCTACAGTCTGTGAGTGCTTGATTTGTAAGATTGCCAAACTCAAGGGAAAAGAAAGGCATCCATTAAGCAAGGTTCAAGATTCAGCACCAAAAATTCCCCAACAATCTTCACAAAATGCAGAAAAGCATTGTACTAAGTGCTTGTCAGTTATTGGTCGTGGGCTTCCTCACTACTGCACTCCTGGAACACGCCATGAAAATTTGAGAAGAATGGCTGCCTCTGATCCCATTGGTGCAGAGCAAGTTGCAGCAACAGTTTTGGAATCAAAAAGTGCATCTCCTCATGGCACCATCAGACTCAGTCAACCTTGTGGAAAGTTATTGCCATTGAGAAAAGGTAATAGTGCTTTTGAACTTTAAATGATTAAATTAAAATATAAATATTATCTATTTATTTTTCAAAAACTTACTTAATTTAAAAATAAAATTTTCTCTGCAAATATATTTGCAGAGAAAATTTTATTTTTAAATAAAATTTTTTAAATAAAAATAAAATTTTCTCTGCAAATATATTTGCAGAGAAAATTTTATTTTTAAATTAAGTAAGTTTTTGAAAAATATTAATATTTTTTGAAGGTCATGAACTATTTTTTAAATGCAATTTTTATAATTAGGACCTTCATCAGCACAGCAACTTTTCAAAGAGCCTCTCACAACGCAGAATATGGTTCAAATTCAGCAGAATATAGGACTTTCAAACAATGGGATGAGAAAACTTGAATCGGCACTAAATCAAATCAGTCCTATCAGATTGGTGGAGCCAAGTTTTCAGCAAAAATTCGCTCAAGCAGGCCAAAAACTTTGTGATCACTTCACTGTGAGCAGCATCACTCTTGCTGAAAACAATCAAATATCCCAAGTTGTGCATTGTCAAAACCTCAGTAGTCTTAGTGATGTCTTCTTAGCATAAAGAAAGATGACAGATTCTGCAATTTTGAAACTAGGGATTGATGGTGGAGGATCTTTTTTGAAAGTCAGCTTCACACACATCATTGTGGATGAAGGTGAGACACCGCCACATAGCCCACTGCAGAAAACAATCAAATTGATGTCTCCACCAACAACTAAATCAACAAGTGTTAAGCAGCAACTACTGGTAGCAATTGCACAAAACACTCCAGAGAACTACCATAATGTGAAGGCAATTTTTGACCTCATCCAAGTACAAGAGAAATGTCAGATGGATTCTCTGGTCATATCATGTGACCTAAAGTTGGCAAATATTCTGTGTGGCATTCAATCCCAGAGCAGCAAACACCCATGTTGTTGGTGTGATGTTTCGTCTTTAAACCTCCAAAACTGTGGAAGTCCTCGAACTTTTGGCGAGATTAGGAGACAACATTTTGAATTCATCAACGCAGGAGGAGATACAAGAAAATCAAAGGAGTTCAAAAATGTCATTCACGTACCATTGGTTGATTTTCCTGATCACAAGCTTGTGCTTGAAGCTATCCCTCCAATGGAGCTCCATTTGTTACTTGGAGTAGTAAACCATTTGTATAAAAATCTTTGCAAAATTTGGCCAGGGGCCAAGAAATGGCCAGCTTCACTTCATATTCCTATTCAGCCCTACCATGGTGGACATTTCAATGGGAATGACTGCATGAAGCTCTTGAGAGGTTTAGACAAGTTGCAATTGGTCACAGGATACAACAATTTTAGTCAAGCTCATGACTTCATGCAAACACTTGCACTATTTAAGGATGTGGTCATGTCTTGCTTTGGCAATAACTTGGATCCTGATTATGAATCGAAGATCTCCAAGTTCAAACAAAGCTACATCCGCCTACCCATTTCAGTTACTCCAAAAGTACATGCAGTGTTTTACATTGTACCTCATTTCATCAAAATCAAGAAAACAGGATTGGGTCTCTTCAGTGAGCAGGCAACAGAAGCTCTGCACTCCAATTTCAAAGTTCATTGGGAGAGATACAAACGAGATTCCTCACATCCAGACTATGCCAGCCAACTCCTGAAGTGTGTGATCGAATACAACAGCAAGAAAATCTAGATCTAAAGAACAGTGTTAAAAAAATCCTAAGAATACTCTTAACAGATTTGTGATATTTTAGTGCCTTTATTTTGTTCCAGATGATTCGTCTCTAGAGAGCATTATAATTTTTAATGGAATTATAGAAATTGTTGTTTATCTTCTAAATGCAATCAATAAGAGAATAAATGAATAAAATAAAAAAAGCTCCCAATTTATGTTTTTAACATTTTTTGTTTTATGATAAAAAATCAGAAATGTATTTTTGTACTACAAATAGGCTGCCAAATGTTGCTTAAAATTCTTATTTTCTTCAAAATTTCAAGGTAAAAAATCTCCATTGGATGTTAATGCAGGATTTCAAAATCACTCTGTATGGCCATCCATTGTTATGTACTATCCCCCCTTAAAAGGGTTTTCATAGGGTATTTCATTGATATTAGGGTCCCAAATTTACAAACCGTGGACTCATTTAGAAAAATGCTCTTCAACTGCAAAAATATAAACAATAATACAACCCACATTCAATGTACCAACAGAAGTTCATAAGGCTATCTGTTAAATAAATTTTTATATCACTTGTACCATATACAACTTAAGTTATGTAAGTTTGATGAAGAGCCATTTTTTCTGATTTCTCCCTGATATTTCCAAAACTTAATCTAATTTCCCTGATAATCCCCTGATTTTTTTGCAGATATCTGAATTCCCTGACTTTTACCTGTTTTCCCTGATCTGGCAGACACCCTGAATTAATGTTTAATTTCTATTTAACATAGTAAGTTTCTATTTAACATAGTAATTTTGTGATGTGTTATAATGTTATGTATTTATAGTAAGTAGGTATTATGTTGTTTGCATGATTTCAAATTGTTCTGACTAGGCTTAGTTTACAGCAAGTGTTGACTCTGATAGCCAAGTAGTATATTTTGTTGTAATGTGACTTGCATAGATTATCTTTGTCTTTTTTAAAATATCCAGAAAATTATTTTGTTATAATATCCGGTAAATATCCGGAAAAATATTTTTAAGACATCTGGAAAAATCTGGGAATAAAAACGCTTTTTGTGTATTTAAGAAAATCTCATGTGCTTAAAAAAAAATTTTGGCAGGTATTCTTCTATATAAATAAAAATGAATTTTAATGCTTACTTAAATAGAGTTTATATATTGAATTAAACTAGATTTTTAGGTGAAATAGTTAGAATAATAAAAGTGATCTCTAAGTGCTGAGTGTTTACACATCTTAAATAATCTTTATAAAATAGATTTTATATTATTTAAACGTTCCAAAACGTTCCAAAAAAAGTATTTATCAACACATAAGCAAAAAACTTTTTAATAAATAATTTCTCGAAGGTAAGTTTTAATTTTAAGAGCATTTTTTTTTTCTTGTTAAGTTTTTTTTTTTAATTTATTAAATAAAACAACTTTTTTTTACATAAATACTGCAGAAATATATGGCAAAACAGTAAATGCTATTTTGTCAAAAACTCAATAAATAAATTGATTTGGTAAATTTAATTAACACAAAACTTATTTAATAATTTAATTACTAACATAATTTTTTTAAAAAGCTGGGTGAATAAAAGCTATTGCTTATACTCACAGCTTTACACAAATTTTTAGCGATTTTGCTCACATATTTTTATTTATGTAAAGCTGAGCAATAATTTACTATAATTTGTCTCGGCACTTGGGAATCCCTTTATTAATAAATATACGCGTACAAAAAAGAAAAATTTATTTGTAAAAATAATCCCTTACCTAAGTAAAATATAGCATAAAGTAATTGATGAACGTCACTTTTACTGTTTTAATTATTTGATGACAAAAAAAAATATTTTCAACTTGTATTTTCAGAAAACTATTTGGATATCCGGAAAAAATAAAAATGTGTAAAAATATCTGGAATTCCTGAAATATCCGGAAAAAGATAATCTCTGGACTTGGCTTTGTCAAGAGTGCAGTGTAATGCAATGAAAAAATGCTCTTAGTTTCCCATTTTAATAACATGATTTGGTTTCTATTAAAAATCAGATATTTTTTTTACTTTTTACAAAATTATGTTGAGCAATTTAATTGAAACAAGATTGGTTTTTAATTTTGTTATTGTAATTATTAATTTTGTTTTTTGCATATTATTACACTTTTATGGCACCTGCATTGTAAGAAAAAGTACTTTCACCCAAAACCATATATAAGTTATGAAAAATTTGTAAAACCATGCTTAAACATCAATCAACCTTTTTCGCTTTACACCAGAAATAGATTTGATATCTTTTAGTAAATTTTTGTGTCTTTTTTTCTTTCCATCCTTTTTTTTTTTCTAAATAAAAACAATTTAAAAAAAAAAAAATTTTTCTTAATTAGTTAATTAAAAAAAAAAATTTTTACTCAAGAAAAAAAAAATTGTAAATATTTTTACCTCATTTAATGATTCATTGGAATCAGGTTCGCCATTATCTTCAGTTAAAAGAACCATTTTGTATTTTAAAACCAAAACTTATTTATGAATACTACAATACAATAAAAAAAACCTATATTTAGAGAGCCAAAAAAATAATACAATAAATATAATATGAGAACCTAAAATAAATTAATAAAATACATTTAATAAGTGAACCAATAAGTGGACACAAAAAAAAATCAGTTATTTTTTTTATAAAAATACTACAACAGAAAGATAATTCATATTTATTTATAATAAATGTGTACATTTTGAAATATTTCTGACAACATTAATAATTTAAAAATACAACAAATTTGAATGATCCAAATCTTTATTAAAATAAAAATAAATTTTTAACTAGAAAATGAAATAGAAATTATTGAAACTTTTAAGTAAACTAAAAACAAAATTAATATATAAAATAAATAAATTAAGAAAACCAAAAAATTTATAAAGCAAAAACATTATAAACTATAATATTATAAATTTATCTTGAAATCTAAAATTGTCCAAGACAAAATTTACATGCACAACAAAGCTTGCCCTGTCATTTCTTTTGGTTGCTCAATGCCCATTTCTTGTAAAACTGTTACTGCAACATCACATAAAGCTGCATTATGATCAATTTTACGAAACTTTCTTCCAACAACACAGAAAGGAACTAAACATGAAAATAATATATTTTTTTCTTTTTTGAGAATAACTCATAAGTATTAACATTTTTTTCTTTTTTGAAAATAACTCATAAGTATTAACATGTGGTAGTGGTGTAGTGGTAGAGCGCTTGCTTCATAAACAAGTGGTTCCGGGTTCAATCCCCACCACATCCCTGGTAGTACTGCGCTCAACTCGTTTCTCCGCGCAGCGGCCTTGTTCGTCAAGGTTCGTGTTTTGGAGTTATAGAATTGAGAGAGGGTTATAGCCACAAAATAAGTAGCCTCCTCGTCTGTAGTGGCCTTCTCGGCCTTGAGGAGGTGAATTAAAATATAAAATAAAAAAATTAAAAAAAAAAAAAAAAACATCAAAGTAAAAGACAAATTTCCATTTTACCCTTAAACAAATGAAAACAATCTTCAAGTATCAAATTTTATTTGTTAATGATACAAATAAGAGTTTATAACTCCAAACCTCTATTGGTAGTATGGGCAGTGTGTGGACCACCTTGCTCACTAAACATCTGCTCAGCATTGCCATGATCTGATGTAACCATCAGTGTGTAACCGTGTTCTAAACAAGCTGATTGGATAGCACCAATTGCTTTATCTAAATAAAAATGCTAAGTTATTTTAGGATAAAAATATTAATATTTGAAACAAATTAAATGTCAGCTTTATTGCATAAATATTTTTCAACAATATCAACACTTAATGAAAAGAAAATATAAAAGGTAAAGTCAGACTAAAATACTTTTTTAAAAGTAACTACAGTAACTACTACTGTTTTTCATAAAAAAAAAAATAAAAAAATAAAAAAAATAAAAAAACCTATTCTGGTCTACATATCAATTTTTATAGTTTCACTCTGCTTTCGTACAGAGTCAATCTTATCAAATGCTTAATCGATAGAACATTTAAAATCAATAGTACTAATCTAGGGTTTAACTCCGACATAAACAACCTTTTCAAAGTATTTAAAAAAAACATGTAATAATCTTGGCTAATATCGAAAATATATAAATCTTATTTAAACAAAATTAACACAAACAATCCATAACAACCAAAAATCAAAGAGCCTTTGTCTTACTTTAAATCACCGTTTTTAGGAAAAATATCGGAATTAACTAAAAAAATATTGAATTCAATTGGTAAAAGATATTGCTGTTCTGTAAATTTTAAACTAGTTTTTATCTCACTAAAAATTTCAAAATTTTTTTCCTCTAAAGATCCTATTCCTTTAGAGTTCAAATCGTTTGTGGTCTACAAATTCGTATGCGCAGGATGTAACTCCTGTTATATAGGCAAAACTACTCGTCATCTCAAGACACTAATAACTGAACATTATAAGAGAGACAAAAAATCACATATCTATAAACATCTCCATGGTAATGAAAATTGTTTTATGTAATTAAATGAAAAGTATTTTTCCGTTTTAAATTCAGCATCTAATAAGCTCAAATTAAAACATAAAGAAAGCATGTTCATAGAAAGGTCAACCATGTCCAAAATGACACTTTCTGTTTAGTTATGTAAATTTTTATTAACCTATTCTTTCGTTACTTCCTATTCGTTCTTTTAGTACGACTTTATTATTCTTATAAATTTTGTCGTATTTTTGTATTAAATTAATAGTTTGTACACAGATAATTACATTTTGTATTGTTATTGTAAAAATCACCTATATAGGTATTTAAACAAATTTAAAAATTTTAATTCAACTGAAGATGACTAGTGATAGTCGAAACATGTATTGTTTAAAATTAATAAAAAGGTTTTATTAATTAAAGAGTTTGTCTTGTTTAATAAAATATTTACATTTTTTGTGCTTAAAAGAAATTTTGGATATATATATATATATATATATATATATATATATATATATATATATATATATATATATATATATATATATATATATATATATATATATATATATATATATATATATATGAAGACCACAGGGGAAAAAAGCCACATGTCACATTTTCCAATTTTTTAAGTTATGTCCCCTACTATATAAACATAAGCCTGAAGATGAGCAGAATAGTAAAATCAAACCCAAGAGACCTATATAATGCTATAGAAAGACCCAAAGAAATGGCATGCAGGGGAAAAAGGGCACAAGTTCAGAATGTAAAGGGGGGAAAAGGCCTATGTCACAAACAACAAATTCTAAAAAGGTCATGTGACTAGCTTCAGCCAATTCACAACCTCCATTTTATCAACAAAGCTCCATTACTCAAAATGGCGGATAAAGACACTCAATGTGTTAAAAATAAGCCAAACCACGTTGATCATCTGGCAGAAAAAAAGATCAGTTGAACGAAGTACATAACTTAAGTCATCAAACAGGAGGACTGTAAATGCAAACAATTTAAATGTTTTGAGGCCACAACAAGAGAAGAGAGAGACCACCTCATTACTGCTTTTAATGAGCTTCAAAACAAAAAGATGATCAAGACGCCTTTCTGTCTACACAAATTGGTGTGCTAAATGTTGCAAGAAGAAGACCAAAAACAGATGGCACAGATCCAAAACCAAAAGACAAATCCTACAGTTACATATCAAGGTTCAACGGGATGACAAAGTTGAAGAAGTAGATGTCTGTGTTAAGGGATTTATTGCCATTTTTGGAATCAGTCACAAGCGAGTTAGGACAATACAGACAGCACTGAAAGAAACTGGTAAGCAATTTAGATTATTATTATTATCATTAAAATCATGTTTATTATTATTTATTTTTTTTATTATTATTATTATTATTATTATTATTATTATTATTATTATTATTATTATTATTATTATTATTATTATTATTATTAGTAGTAGTAGTAGTAGTAGTAATAGTAATAATAATATTAGTAGTAGTAGTAGTAGTAGTAGTAGTAGTAGTAGTAGTAGTAGTAGTAGTAGTAGTAGTAGTAGTAGTAGTAGTAGTAGTAGTAGCATATGATACTGACAGGCTATTCTTATAATAGCCTATGTTTACACAACTCGATGGTGAATCTAGGCACCACAAGATAAAAATAAAGCACAAAATGGTCAGGAGAATTTTAGTGGAGTTTTGCTAATCCCTAATAAATTTCTGTTAGCACTAACGCTAATCCCTAACTATTTGTAATGGATTAGCGAAAGTTAGTTATGCTAACAGCAGCTGATCCTCACAACCCAAAATAGTAGTATGCTATTGTTAGTGCTTTTTGTAGTTTTACTGTTGTTGTTCTAAAATTTTTGTCTGTGGTCTCACAATTATGGTCCTGTGTGTTTCTTACAGGATTTCCACCAAAAGACAAGCAAGGGAAGCACAGCAACCATGCCTGAAAGCTGACAGCAGATATGAGAGAGCTTGTGATTGCTCATATTGGCTCTTTCAAGGGGCGTTCATCTCACTACTCACGCAAAAAGTCTAGTCGCCTCTACCTGCCAGAAACACTCAACATTACAAAAATATTTAATCTATTCTGTGAGCAGCATCCTGGTGTTACCCTTTCATACCCAGTCCTACAGAACCATATTCAACGAGAACTTTAATATTTCATTTGGGTACCCTAGGTCTGACACCTGTTCTGCCTGTAATGAGTTTCAAGCAAAAATTAGCAGCATTGACTCTCAACTTCTTGCACGTTCTGGTGATGAAGAGGATTTACAGGCACAGAAGGCTAAACTCTCTGCAGAAAAGGAGCTTCATCAAGGCAAAGCAGATATATTCTACAAGCGGAAAAGGGCAACAAAGGACGCATGTAAACAAGATCAAAATTCTCTCGCAATCACCTTTAATTTTCAGAAGGAGCTGCCTGTACCAAACAAGACCACCAACGATGCATTTTATCAACGCCAGCTGTTCCTGCACTTATTTAACTTTCACGAGCTTGCAGGGGATAATGTGTACATCTACACATATGGTGAAACAATTGGTAAAGGTGGATCAGACGATGTGGCTTCAATCCTGTATCATTTCATTAAACATAGTGTTCCACGTAATGTGAGAAATATTGAAATGTTTTGTGATGGTTGTGCTGGCCAAAACAAAAACTGGACAGTTTTTAGGTCCTTTTATGCCCTTGTGCATCTTTGGAAAAGGTTTGACAAAGTGAAAGTAACATTTTCATTTCGTGGTCACTCTTATATGGAATGTGATCGGGATCTGATGTTGGTAAACAAAACAAACCCTATTGATGTTCCTGATCAGTGGGTGAAAGAATTTAGGAGTGCTTGTGTGAGCCCTTCCCCTTACAATGTGATCATAATGGACCAGGAGAGCTTCTTCAAAGTAGCAGCCTACCTGAAACCACTGTTCAAAGCAACCTTTCCTGTGCCAACCCGTCCAATCAGGGAAGTTGATTTCTCTATAGACCATCCTATGCTCATGTATTTCAGGAACAATTGGCATAGGCATTACGAGTCTGCTGTTGTATCACCTAGGAGGAAGACTCTTCCAGCAAATATCGAAACGGTGTTAAAGCCTAACATGGAGAGGAATTACCTTCACCCACTACCAATATCCCTGGCCAAGTTCGAGGACCTGCAGGTGTTAAAAAGGTTCTGCGACCCAAGGCACCATGCATTTTTTGACAATCTTCCTTATGATAGCAGCATGCAAAACAACCTCCATGAGGAAAAATCAGATTCGGATGAGGAGTCTTAGCCTTATTGCATCAAAATGTTGTAAAAAAAAATTCAATCACTGTCAATAGTAATGATTTTTTTGTAATAAACAAGTAAAAAAAAAGTCTTTAAAAAAGTCTTCATATATATATATATATATATATATATATATATATATATATATATATATATATATATATATATATATATATATATATATATATATTTATATATATATATATATATATATATATATATATATATATATATATATATATATATATATATATATATATATATATATATATATATATATATATATATATATATATATATATATATATATATATATATATATATATATATATATATATATATATATATATATATATATATATATATATATATATATATATATATATATATATATATATATATATATATATGTATATATATATATATATATATATATATATATATATATATATATATATATATATATATATATATATATATATATATATATATATATATATATATATGTATGTATATATATATATATATATGTATATATATATATATATATATATATATATATATATATATATATATATATATATAGTGTTACTAGTTAACATCTCGTGTATGCTTATTTAGTTCTGTACGTGTCAGGTCTTTTTAAAGCACAACACGGTTTTTAAAAAGTAGGAATATAAACAGCTTTATTAAAATACTAAAGGTTTAGCGAGTATGTAACACAGGACTGCAAACGCTGCCTAGATTTCCTTTTTTTTTTTTTTTTTTAAACAACTAATTTTATTTAAAAAAAGTTAAATGTTAGTGTCAACTTGTCTTGACCTCTCCCCCACCCCCAGACAACAATTTTGTTGACGTAATTTATGGACAGTCCCTAAAAATGATTTTAAAAGTTTAAAATTTAAATTTAGTTTTAAAGGAATGTAAAATAATTAGTAAAACAATGAAGGAATGTAAAATTGTTTTTAAGGTATATAAAATAGTGTTGAAATTAAAAAAAGTTTTTAAATAAACTTTTTTCTTGTGTTTACAAATATCTTACTGATAAAAACTATTTATAAATTATTTATAATCTTTATTAAAAATAGTTCAATAAATAGGTAAAAAATAAAAAAATTAGTGATAAACCAACAAAGAATTGTTGTAAAGTATAAGATTGTTTTAAATGATAAATTGTAAGATAACTTTTTTTTAAAACCAAAATTAGATTCAATAAGTAATTTTTTTAAATGATTTTTAATGCGGTTTAAAAATTAAATTTGGTTGAAAGGTACTTTAAAAAATGCTAATGATGCAATTTAACTTTTAACAATCTAAATATCAAAGCTGAGCTTCAATTACATTAATTAGTGTTCAGCATTTTCATTATGTATTGAAATCTTAAATCAACCCCTGTATCAAGGTCTTAGATATTGTAACCTTGGTGACTTTTCAAAAAAAAATATGACCAAATAGAAACAGTCTAAGATGGTTTCATCATAAACAAGGATATTAAATTCATGCAGCAAATATTTCTTGACTAAAGTTAAAGATGATACTATTTTAAACAAAACTTTGGATTGTAGTGTTCAACATTGTCAAACCACAAGTGTAATTGAATGCTCTAATGTTTGTTCTATTTAAGTATTACATGGTTTGCTCAGAGATTTTGATCATTTTAGGAAGATCATTGTACACATGGCTGCAGATGCCTTATCAGAATCTAAGACAAACAAAAACACATAATTACTGGAAGCAGATTTTGCAGATTACACTGTACATGGAGGAAATACAACAAATGATGCCAGAGAGCTTCTATCACAGATCACATATCAAGTAAAACAAATGACAAGTTAGTTGAACAATATGGCTAGCTTCTTTACACATATTTTGAGAGCAATATTGTCTTGGAAAAACTAAATGTTTAATTAAATAAACAGATAGCTCCAGAGTTTTGCTTCTGTAAGAATTTTATTAGGTTAGTGTAACTCCAGCACAAAATTCTTGCTCGTAATTGATATTAGAATATTTCATCAAACTTTAATTTCCAAAAATTTAATATATTGCAAATGTCTACTAGTTAAATTGTGTACTGTAATTTTATGTCCATATATAAAAAAAATTTAATTATGTAAAAAAAGGTTTTGAAAAGTAACAAAGACGTATACAGAATTATAAAACATATTTTATACACATATTGTACAAAATGTTAATAATAATAATAAAATTGTTAAATGTCTCACCTGTTACTTCACAAGCTTTTATAGTTGGCTCGTAAACTCCAGTGTGACCAACCATATCTGGAGGGGCAAAATTGCACATTACAAATGGGAATTCTTCACTGCTTATTGCTTCAACCATCTAAAAAAAATTAATAAATATGCTATAAAAAAAAGTATAATATATAGATGATAATATTAATAAGGGGTCAGTTTAGTATGTCAAATAATTTAATGAAAATTTTGCGTGACATTATCCCTTATTTTTTTTTATCTTTACAAATCAATATCTGCATTATGTAAATATATAAAATAAAGTTTGTAGTTTTAGAAATCCAACAAAACATTTTTTTAAAACTCAACCTGCCTACTGACATGTAAGGGGTGCTGAATTTGAAATTTAAGTTGCTTGATATAAATTTTTTTAAATTGAATTTCTGATTGTCTATAAATTGTTTATTTGAACTGATTTCAAAATACAGGTCAAATATAATAAACTATATAAATGTAATAGATAAAACATGGCATGTATGTTTCATGAGTGTGAGAAGAGTGTAGGAAAAATAAAAATAAAATACAGCAAAAACATTTGCTTTGTATGTTATTTTCTACTTTTTAGTCTTTACAAAAAGTTTCAATATATTAATATTAAAAAAAAAATTTTATTTAAAAAAAAAAAAAAGTTTTTTTAAAAGATAAAAAAAAAAAAAATACAAACCTGCAAGCAATTTTAAAAATGAAAAACTTTATTTATAAAATAATATATATATATATATATATATATATATATATATATATATATATATATATATATATATATTATATATATATATATATCAGACTTGGTCGGGAAGCGGGAGCGATCGCTCTCGAATACTGACCACGGAAATTATATTTAGTTGCGTAAAACTGGCCAGGTTTTTTAGTCGTTTTGAGAACATTTAAGTTTATGTACGAAACAAAGAATTTTTGTTTTACGGACATACATGGAAACATAAAAAACTTGAATGTTCTCAAAACATCTTTGTGCGAAGGAATAAAAAGAATATTTGCGAACACTAAAAACCCAACTAATTCTATTGGTTCAAAAAAAACGCTGATTAAGCGAATTAAAGTTTTAGTGCATTCTGTTAAAATGTTTTAGAAATTGTATTATACACCATTTGTTACGTTTTGAGATTTTTAGCATTGTTTTAAGAATACATATTATTTGTTAACGAAAATAAATGTTTTAAATATATATTAATTAAATTGTCAACATTTTAAAAGTTTATTATAAAATATAGATTTTATTTGTATATTCTTATTTTTATTTTAAAAGAGATTGTATTCCTTATCGTAATGTCTTTTGATCTTTTGAAGCAATTTTTATGATTTAAACAAAGACTTACAAAAATAATTGCGTTTTCAAAGTTATAATCGTTAAAGTTAATAAAACTAATTCTGTAACAAACGTATAAGAAGTTTCTGGTTACTAAACACAAACAACGCATTCAAAGTAACTCGCGAATGAACAAGCATCGCGCCTGAGGTCACGACAGAACACAAATATATAATAGCAAATAATTAGATATAAAGAAAAGTTTCTAGATATTGGTTTACTAACTCTAATTATTTTCGCTTAAGTTGCCATTCTTAAAACTCGTTATACTTTTTTCTGCTTTAAATACTAATTAAAATTAAAAAGCCCACTCACTAAACATCAGCGATATTGTGAAGCAGTTTCGCTTCCTGGTCATTAAGTATTTTTAAACTTTTTAGTTGATTTCTATCTTGATAATTTTATTCCTATAGTAATTCAATAATTTAATTGTTTCATTTGTTTATCTTACTAAGAAGAATCGCTTCAAATATGTTAAACTTTTCTAACTACGCGAAACATAAAATAGGTATTAAAAAAATTAACTTTTTTATTTATAAAATAATTTAGCTTAAGTAAAACTAAAACTTGCAAACTTAGTTAAATAAAGAATATTTGTTTACCTTTTAAACAATCGTAAGTTGTTACAAAAAACATCGCTTAATTTTACTTAAAAAATTATAAAAAAGCGATGTTTTGAAAATATTTGTTTTAAATGTAATTTATTTAGCTTAACGTTTTTTTCGCGTTTAAAGATATTTTATTTGGCGACTATTTTTTTTTTTTGTAATTGTCTCTCATCGGTCCAATTATTCTTTGTCGCTTTTTTTTTTTTTTGCTATTTAAAATGTTCTCAAAACGATTAAAAAATCTGGCCAGCTTTTCGCAACTAAATATTATTTACGTGGTCAGCAATCGAGAGCGATCGCTCCCGCTTCCTGACCAAGCCTGATATATATATATATATATATATATATATATATATATATATATATATATATATATATATATATATATATATGACCAAGCCTGATATATATAGACCTGATATATAAAGACCTGACCAAGGTCTTTATAATGTATGATATATAAAGGTCTTTATAATATATGATATATAAGGTCTTTATATGATATATGATATACAAGGTACATATATGAGGTACATATAGGTATATATATAGGTACATATAAGGTATATATATAGGTACATATAAGGTACATATAGGTATATATATGATATACAAGATACATGATATACTTATATGATATATGATATACAATATATATAATATATGATATACAAGGTCTTTATAATATATGATATATAAAGACCTGGCCAAGCCTGATATATAAAGACCTGACCAAGCCTGATATATATATATATATATATATATATATATATATATATATATATATATATATATATATATATATATATATATATATATATATATATATATATATATATATATATATATATATATATATATATGTATATATATATATATATATATATACATATATATATATATATATATATATATATATATATATATATATATATATATATATATATATATATATATATATATATATATATATATACATATATATATATATATATATATATGTATATATATACATATATTATTGAAAAAAAAAGAATAACAAACCCAAAAGAATAACAAGCAATACTAGCTGATTTTAAATATAAAAACATTTATTAATGAATCAAGATTACTTTTTAATAAAAAACAAACTCTCAAAGCAATTTAAAAGCTAATTTCTATATAATTGGTTAGTTTTTGTATGTCCCTTGGACGACAAAAAAAGTTGAAGAAGAGTTCATGTTAAGTAAAAGAAAAGATAAAAAGAAATAATCTACTAGCAATGTTTAAAACTGACTCATTAAAAAAAGTGAAAAGCTCATTAAAAATAGTGAAAAGCCTTGATAAGTTTTTAAAAAATTTAAATGAACAAAGCATCATTGAGTCAGCATAGTAGCTCAAATAAAACCTAAAGTTAAATCAATGTTATGCAAATTGACTTTTTGAAAATTCGAGGTATAGTCTATACATTTTTCCAAAAATCAAGCAACTCTCAATAAAACATGCAAGTAAAATTTAAATAAGCAAATTAAAATTCAACAAGAATATCAAATAATATTGTTATACAAATGCTAGTCAGATTAAAAAAAAGGAAGGAACAACTTTATTCCACAATTTCAAAACATTACCATTAACAATATTACCAAACTATTAATGGTCCTTGACAGCTTTCAAATATGAGATAAAACTAACAAACAAATATTATAAACCTTCAAGTCACCGTACTGACATCGAATGAGAATAAACAACAAAGTATCTGTTAATGTTATATAAAAACAATATATATTACAGTACACAAAGATACTGGGTAAATTGCCAGTATTATAAATTATTATTTAATAAAAACAAAAAATTATCAAAATTGACGCAATAACAATAAACATTCAAATAAGTTTTTATTTTTAACATGTTTTAAATATTTTGATAAATTATCCAATTTTGCAACAACTTGGTTAAATAGCCAAATAACCATGTTGTTGCAAAGTTGGATATTTTTCTCTAAATTATAATTGCAATGAATATTTTTTCAATTAAAAAAAAGAATGTAACGTTCAGGTATACAGTGTTATAATATTAAATTATTTACAATGACATATTTGTCAAATAACATATTTCTCGGACGAGCCAACTTTACACAGAACTTTTGTTAGCAATCATATATTTATAAAACTGTCAACTAAAAGTCAAATCGTTTCCTATGTCTATTAAACATTAATCAAGAAAAACACTTTTTCAATATTTCTGCTGTGTCCTAGGATACAGAAAAATACTTCATAAAACTTTAAGAACCTCTGAGAAACAACTCGCATTTGGACAAGTTTTAAATAATAAAACCCACCGTTTTATTATGATTTAAGATTACAGCATTGGTTAAACAATTGTACATCATCCAGAATGATACATTTTTCTTTCAGGTATAAAATGCATCCCAAAAGGTCATCAAATGTGCTGTCATTTACTTTATTTAAATACATTTAACCAAAGCAAGCTAAAATTTATTAATTAAGTTTCAATCACTTTTCTAAATAAAGAATGCATGCTTCATACACTATATTAACTTCTGCCATAAAGTATTTATAATCTTCTTCTCTGTCACTTTCTTTAAGCTTTCTTAATATATCTTTGACTTTAAGAAATTGGAATGTTTCATTTAACCAGTCTTTTAAAACTTCCAAGGTAGAATGAAGAAGGCTCATAACTTCTAAAACTGACACTTCTTCTCTTTCAATTGCTGCAATTATTACTTGAAATAGAAACATCAAGGAATACAAAAACCAAAGATAAGATTTTAAAAACTCATTCTCAAAAAATATTTATAGTCTAACAGGTGGCTGATATACAGAAAGAAAGTAAATTTTCAAAACATTAAACAACCTCAGCAATCTTTCAATAGCTGGAAACAAACTTAACCATCTAATTTTAGAGTGATAGAGTAGTTGATAAAAATTTTTGTTTGGATACCACCAGCCTTCCAGTGAAAGTATTAAATAACGATTGGAATTTTTTTTTTTGAATAGTGATTGCTAGCATTTGTGGAAAGACCGAAACATGAAATGCTATCTAATGATTTCACCAGTTGATCAACAATGTGGGGGCCTAATACCTGGTTTATTGGTTGTCTCAGTTTTTGTTTTTGAACATGCTATATTTTTTACAATTTCCGAATCTTCAAAT